AAGATAGAAAACTTTGCTTAATTAAGAAAACCATAAATCTCAATTTTCAATTTTGGAGCATATAGCCTGGTTTTCTCATATCGGGTCACAAATACTTTTGACCATTGTAAAACTTGACAGTAGCACCAGTTACTTGGTAGCTCTTACTCAATTGAACTGAATTTGGTATGTCCTCCCACAATACAAGTCTGCATGCTTGGGAGTGGTCTGCAACAACAGCATCTTGTTTTTTCAAAGTTTTACCACTCCTTGATGATGTGACTTCTTCAACTTCTTTTAAAGATAAGATTTTGACATTTACTCGGACCTTGTTACCAACAACTGTGTCTTTCAAAGACGATTCATGTACACTGTGTATATCTACTTTTTGTTTCATGAAGTCATTGTCTACATGAAATTTCTTAGGTGAACACGCAACCGTAGACCTTTGAGTCATAACGATTTCATAACCGGTTCCAATTTTGCTCTTGACACTGCACTTTTCGAATTTTACACTGTATTCGTCACTATTAAGTTGTAATGCACCATCTATTTCTGACTTCATGTTTGAAGGTGAAAATGAAATGAATCGACACACTTCTTTGCCATCAGTCAATCTACCTTCAATGTACTTTACTCTTGTGTCCTTACTGGTTTTGACTAGTGAAATATCGACTATTTATCCATGAACTGCTTCAGGGCTTATGCTTTCTTCCGTTACGTCAGATATGTCAGACACATCGAGCTCCAACTTCCTTTTAGCCATGGCTTTGTCTTTTCGAGACTCCTGAGTCACACTAATCGTTGAATTTCTGACAGTACTCGCGCAAATAAGTTCTTAGCTTCTTTCTTAAAAGACACGTGTCTTTGTATATCTCAGGTGTGCACATGTGCTGACTTCAAGCAGGATGGCTGTTGCTGCCAATGAAGATGATTTTCAAGATTGTATTCATTGGTGGAAAGAAAGAAAAGGAGAAGAAAAGTGAAGATTTGATCAAACAAGTGAAAGAATCTGACAAGAAATACAAAAATCTGAAGTCAGATATTGATAAACTTCGTAAGGATCACAGTTAAATTCAAAGTGATCAGAGTAAATTTCAGAGATGTCACAGCAAGTTTCAGACTGATCACAGCAAGCTGCAGACTGATCATATTAAATTAAAAAATGACTACTCTAAGCTAAGAGACAAAAGGAACCAACTACAGATTGATAACAACAGATTGATGAGAGATATGGACAAGATTAATGATAAATTACATGGTTATGAAGCAGAAGAACGAAGACGTTTAAAAAGACAGAGGCAAGAAGAGAAGTTAGAGGAAGAAATTAACATTAAGAGACAAGTTAGGATTGAGGAAATTGAAAGAGCTAAAGTGAGAGATGAGATGGTGAATAACCTTTATTGATCATGAAATCAGTGTTATTGCAATGATACTATTGTTACATGATGATTTTGAATATTTTCATTCAAATATTAAAAATAATAAACTTGATTAATAAAAATAATACAATTGATTAATAAAAATAATAAAAATTAATCAAAAGTTGCAGTGGTCTTGCACACTGATAAACAGTGATAGCCAGCACCATCACGAATAGGTGCCACTGCTTAGCTGGTTCCCCACACAACAACCCACCTACAGAAGAAAGAAGAAAAATGCATAATGTCAATCACATGCA